CGCATTTAAGTATTGTTTCGAGGCTACCAGTAAATCAGTAGTATGAGATGTATTCACCCAATTTCGTTTATGGACTAATTGACCAATTTTCCCACAATTATATGAGTAGAGCTGACTTTTCTATTGAATTTCACAAAGCCTTGATTTCCCAAAAATTATTCACATACAGACACTAGTGGACTGCAGTTTCGATCTCGCCTCGGTCTTTTTAACACCGCCAGCGGGAATGGGAGCTTGACACGCTAACCACTCAGCCACATTGCCACGAGTGCATTTGGGTCACAGGGCAGATGTGAATTTCTAGTAAGGCCATTCCTTTTCCCATATCACATTCTTTGGTGGGATTATCGATGAAGCAAACGTATTTATGCTTTAACAATCGACTACGTCACTTTATTTTTCCCATTTACGTATTGTTTCAAAACTATCATCTCTAACCATATGATTGTGGGAAAATTCTTTCACCAATCCTTCATCAACCTTAAACGAAATTGTGTGAATGCATCTCATTTCACTTAGTCAGAATGTTGGTCGTTTCGTTGATTTCCGTATACTAGGGAAGTCTTTGCAACTTGGCAATACAAACTCTTTACTAGAACCCTCTCAGCTGGAATGTCCAATTAGGTTTTCGGCATGTTTACCACTTTTGGACACATTTTCCTTCACTTTAATTTTTTTATTCAGTTTATTTCTGATCTGCAGATAAAACGTGTCTTACAACTTATCCACCAAGTCTCCCTTCATAAGTAGGGTTTCACGGCTACCAATAAATCAATTATATGAGATTTATTCGTCCTATTTCGCTCAAGGTGCTGAAACTACTTATAAAAACGAAAATCAAGCAGTCTACCCGATTGTTTTAGCAAAAATATAAGTTTGCTTTGTCGACAATCCCACTGAAAAATGAAATATGCAAAACTGCCTAGCCTTCCTTTAAATGCACATCTGCCTTCTCACCTTAGGACACTTGTGCCAATGTGGCGTACTGGTTAACGTGTTGAGATTGCATTTTACATTGCCATGGTTCGAGTCCCGCTGCAATCAACCCTGGATGAGAATACCTTTTGGCAAAGAAAATTCATGTGAAATTCACTGAAAACGTCATGTCTACTCATATCATAGTAAGAAAATTCAGCTATCAGTCCTTCATAACCTTAAACGAAATAGAGTGAATACATCTCATTATCCATCAGTGTTTGGAGGTTAGGCAAGCCCTTCAAACAAAGAGCTTCAGACAAATAATAACAACTATATTCATTATTGGTCGCGTAAGGTGACTTAGGGACAGAACGGCAAAAGTCTCGACAAAAAGTCAGTCTTGAATTCCCTTTAACAGGCCTAGTGTGACTAAAATGCTCATCTAAGAACTATTGAGTTTTGAAACATACTCGTAGTTGCCAAGACAAGCAGTAACCAGGTGAGCTGACATTAGGCAAAAAGCCGTTCTGAAGACGGCAAACGAATGAGCTCCAAGCGGATCTACACACAGTCAACAGCACCAAAAGTGATTTTTCGACAGAAAAACGCCAACCAGCTCTGGTCTTTGGCCTCGGACTCAGATCACAAACAACCCAACTCACCAAAAGAAAATATTGCCAACAAAATTAAGCACTAAGTGAATTCAGCATTATTTTTGAATCGCCACATGAAATCCACAGAATGCATTCGAACTAAATTGTCTGGGGTGACACCGTTCCAAATACCAGCTCATCTAGTCGAAACTCTGGAGTCTAGTTGGCCCCTCGAACCCTTACCAAAAGGGTTGCTTTAAAATCTCTTTCTGTCTCACTTCCTTCCTACCAGATGTGAATTGGAATAAACTGGTAGATAAGAAAAATATAATAGATACGAAGAGAAACTTGCTTTCGACGAATCTCCTGAGATAACATTGTTAGGAGGACCTTCACTTCGTATCAAAGTGCATGAAGAAGAAGAGAGATAATTAGCCAAACCACTCTTTTGGCTTAACTGAGTCTATATAAGAAGTAAGCTAGAGCCGGATAATCTTCCGATGTCACCCAAAACGAGGGAGGAAGTCTTGTGGACTGCGTCAACATGAATATCGTGTACAAACCAAACGGATGCAGTACAACGAGGTTCATCCGTCCTCATCTGGTGAGATCGAGCAACGAATCTCTGCTTCATACACTTTGATACGAAATGAAGGTGCCCCTAACAAAAGTATAAATACCAAATCCTTTCGCCGAGATCGAAAGAATTTGTATACATCTTCAGTGTAGGCAAGTGGAGAAAGCGATCAGCGGAAAAACCTTCAAAGATATTCCACGTGAGTATGTTAAAGGGGCCAACAAGGCCCAGGCAAGATCGAAACTGTCGCAGGAGCCATTCAACGCATTGTGGAAACAATTGAACTATGAGTTTAAGGATCGCATTAAGTGACCTACCATGACCAAGGTGTTAGTCTCCCGGGATCTCTGTTCTATTTTTCGCGTAAAACTTTGCATGAAAGATCGTAGCTATGAAGACCAAGACGGTGTGACCTTCTGTTTTGTCGCAGTCTCCTTCAGCTTTGTAGTGTTGTTGGCTCGACCTTGTCTCCTCAACTTGGTCGAAGCGTAAGGGAAACCTTGTGAAACGTACCTGGTCCCGTGTTCTCTGTCATGGCATTCGTGATTTCCACCGTTGGACCATTGATTGGGTACATTCCCAAACGTTTCGCCGGCAGCCTCAGATACTTATCAATTGGCACTTTGATAAGTTGCAACTTTGCGCTGACGATGCCGGCCACGATGTTGGCGAAATGTTTGGGAATGAGCCCAGCCAATGGTCCGATGGTGGAAATCACGAATGCTCTGGCAGACGACACGGACTAGCTACATTCCACAAGGTCTCCTTGGCGCTCTGACCAAGTAGCAAAAATACGTTTGCTTAATCGACAATCCTATCTGGATGAGAACAACTTTTGGGAAATTAAATGGAAACGTCAGCTCTACTCATATCATTTTGGGAAAATTCTTCTACCAGTCCTTCATAACCTTAAACGAAATTGGGTGAATACATCTCATACTAATGATTTACTGGTAGTCTCGAAACAATAGTTAAATGCGAAAAATAGAATAATGTAGTCGATTGTTATAGCAAAAATACATTTGCTTCATCGACAATCCCATCTGGACGAGAACAACTATTGGGAAATTGAATGGAAATTTCGGCTCTACTCATATCATTGTGGAAAAATTCTACTACCAGTCCTTCATCAGCTTAGACAAAATATGGTGAATACATCTCATTACACTGATTTACTGGTAGTCTCGAAACCCTGCTCAAACAAAAGATCTTAGTAAAGCCAAACGGCTGCAGAATAACGAAAATCAGACGTCGTCTGCTAGCGAGAGCAACCAGCACAAATCTTCATCATGCACTTTGGTGACGGGTCTAC